CTTCATTCATTATCCCCTAAGAGACTTGCCTTGTTAAAAGCCATGTGTCTGGCACAGATGGGCTGCATGTGTTATCTCCATCTTTAGCAGCATCGAGGACATTTCTGTTGGGGTGACTTGGCAGTGGCAGAAGCTTCAGGAGTCTACTCTGCAGCCATCTGGCATTGATTTTTCAGCTACAACCCCTGAGGTTTCCTAAGTGTCTCAACACGAAGGAAGCAATAAGTCTCTGGCCACTACAACTGCTGAAGTAAGTAGAAATGTCTATGCCTACTAATATAATGCAGAAATAATCTTGAAAAGGGTGCTGTCTCCCCACCAGTGTAAAGATTATGAAGTCAAAGTGAGAAATTGTTTTGAGTTAATAAGAGCATCTGAATCCAAAGGACATCCATGCAAACACAGCCTTTGAACTCAGAAGCAGGGAAAGCCTGGGTAAGCCAGCAATCTCCTTGACCTGTTCCTTCTGTGTAAAATGGACATAATACTAAATCAGAGTGGTTGGGAAACTAACTTTGAAAGTTGTATTCAAATGAGTTACTATAATTATGTAAAGGGAAAACTGGTATTATGAACACAATGGTATTCTACAGTCTCCTGATTTTGACATTTTTATTGTGTTTAGGTTCCTTTTAGTATTCTAGGGCTGTGATTTGTTTAACTGTGATAGCTCAATACCACTTTTGTAATGTGCTTAAACTGTGTTGAAACTTTTGTATATGTAAATGTGGTGTCACTGCTTAAAAAGATGCAAATTCTTGAATGCGTAGTAGGTATCCTTGTTAAGCTTATTCTTTAAGTAACAATTATTATACTCAAATAAAATAAGAATAATTTTTCAAAGAACATTTTTGCAGTAATAAACTGCTTCTATAGAATACTGAAGGTAGCTTTGTTCTCTACTCCTTAACACGACAGACAAGGACCCATTTCATTAAAAAGGTATTTCTTGGCAGGTGTTAGGCATGGTGGATAAGACCTTCTTTGGGATTCCTGCATCTCATCTCAGAGTACCCACATCTGAGTTCTGGCATTGCCCCCATTTCCACCATCCTGCTAATGTGCACCTGCCCAAGTAGCTGGTCCCTGTCACGCACATCAAGACCTTGATTGACTTCCTGGCTCCTGCTCAACCCCAGCAGTTACAGGCATCTGGGGAGTGAACCAGTAGATGAAAGATCTCTCTTTGTGTCTGTCTTGCTGCCTTTCAAATAAAGTGAATTAATTAATTAAAATTAAAAATAAATATATGGGTACTTCGCTAGAATCTCAGTGATACGTAAAATAAAGTTAGTGCTGAGATTACTTCACACTTCTTGTAAAGCTTTCGGTAATGGTAGTTTATAATGCCACAACCCACTTTTCTTTTAACCCTTGAAATGTGGCTTCTGGAAAATCTCTTCTCCACTTAAATTCCAATTTTCATTGCTATCTTTCTGTCTCAAAAGCTGGAGGATTTGTTCTTAGCCTTGTTTTTCCTTAGTTGTTCTTAATTTGGTTTCAAGGGTAGAACATTCTGAAAATCCTTTCTTGATGAACAAGAGTAAACAAAGACGCAGCATTCTAGACAACCAGAATTTCCCCTTGCTACTTGTCTTCCCGTTACACATCACCCAGGAACAGACAGCTGCCTTAAACGACCGACTGAGGTAGAAAATGTCCAATTCCTTTTTTTTTTTTTTTTAATTGACTCAAGATTGACTCAGCCTGGAGCCTGCTGCGGATGCCACAGCTGACCATTCTGTGCCTGTCAGGGTCTTAAGAAAAGGGGGCTTTTCCCACTTGTCAGTTAATCCAAATCACTCGCATTGCATTCTTCCTTTATTGCCAACCCTGCCAGGCAGATGCCAAGGCCTTGATAAGAACTGATTTCCTACAGGGGGAGGAAAGGAAGGTGCTTCTGTGCTCCCAGCATCAGCTTGGGCCCGCTTCAGTGTTTGATTCCGTTTTTTTTTTTTTTTTTCCTGATCAAAACATGTTGGTTTTTTTTTATTTAGTAAATATAAATTTCCAAAGTACAGTTTATGGATTACAATGGCTTTCTCCCCCCCCCCATAATTTCCCTCCCACTCGCACCCCTCTCATCTCCCGCTCCCTCTCCCATTCCATTCACATCAAGATTCATTTTCAATTATCTTTATTGATTTATTGATTCAGTACATATTAAGTAAAGATTTCATCAGTTTGCACCCACACAGAAACATAAAGTGTAAAATACTGTTTCGGTGCTAGTTATAGCATTACTTCACATTGGACAACACATTAAGGACAGATCCCACATGAGGAGTAAGTACACAGTGACTCCTGTTGTTGACTTAACAAATTGACACTCTTGTTTACGGCGTCAGTAATCTCCCTAGGCTCTAGTCATGGGTTGCCAAGGCTATGGAAGCCTTTTGAGTTCGCCGACTTCGATCTTATTCAGACAGGGTCATAGTCAAAGTGGAAGTTCTCTCCTCCCTTCAGAGAAAGGTACCTCCTTCTTTGATGGCCCCGTTCTTTCGATGGATGGTCCCTCTTTTTCCTGTCGCTCAGTAGCAGTTACTTGAATCCAAGTTAATTTTTAAAATTTCAATCATAAGGAATTTCCTAACTTCCATTGAACAAAGACTAAACAATTATGTTAGGGAAACTTTACACACAAAGAAATAGGTACAGCTCTACCCCTCCAAACCCTCAGATGACCATGATCACGTAGCTTGGATCCTGTTTCAGTAATCAGCTTGTCCTGGTTTGCTTGGGACTGTCTTAGGTTTAGAACGCCCATGAAACCCTTGCCTCAGGTCCACGCACTGAGAGAGCCAGTCATTCTAACACTACTGAGCAGTACAATTAATTTGGTCTAAATCCTCTTTGGAGACTCTAACTTTCTCTGGAATTGTTTCTAAACAAAGCTCCTTTCATAGATACTAACTCTGTAATAAACAAGTTCAACTTGTTTAATGGTAACTTGAGGTCAAAGAACTCTTTGCGAGGGTGCCCTTCATTTATGAAACACCCTATTTTTCCTAATTCCCAGCATTCTATTTTTATCCCTTTTCTTGTATCCATTTGCAAGCTCTGGAGGACTTTTTAAAATATGAACACTTGAATTCTGTTTTTTATGAATTAATTTGCTGGGTTTTAACTTAAGAGCTCAGTTCAATGAAAAGAAAAACAATAAATAATTCTATTTAAAATATTAACTGCTGATTTACCTCAGAGAACAGTTATGCATGATTTTATTTCCTTGTTTTCTAAAGCACACTATACATAGGTTGCTTTTACAAAGCAAAATCTCATAAAATAAATTTAAAACATGTTAAGTAATTTAAGTAAAGTAAAATTTGTGATGTTCACCCATGTCCATCTACAGAACCTCACCATTTTTGGTCAGCACTGCCCATGGGAACAGGAAATTACCTAGCTCTTTTGTATGGAAAGACATCACATAGGAAAGGAAGACACTGGTCAGGGTCCAAGAAATGCAGCAGGAACATCTGAGAATTGCTCAAGCCCGTGCAAAGCCAAGTGCATGAGTTGAGGAATGAATGAGATGTAGGAATAAGATGGCCAGAGGCAAAGTGGAATTTGGAGGGGTAAAGAGAGTTATTAGGAAAATGAACATGAGACTATTTTTATTGGATCAGGGAAATTTTCATTGAATCTCCTTAATCATTCAATCAGAAATACCTTCTAAGAGCCACCCAAAGGTAAAAGAAAATCATTGCCCTTATGGAACTTATATTCTTTTGTGGTGGTCACAATAAATATAAAATATAATAAGTGTATAGTATTTTTAAAAGTGCTACAGGTAAAAATAGAGTGGGGTTATGTGTACCAGGAAGACAAAGTCAATTGTAAAATCACATTGCAATCCTGGCAAAAGTTCTTAGCAGGGACCAAGATACCTCTGGAAAACAACGAATGAAAACAATGCCTTTGCAAAACTGAATTGAGATTCCAAACGCTATTTGATAGCTGACCTGTAGACCTGGTTGGACAAAAAGGAGACACGGGGTCAATGTCAACTGGATCCTGCCCATCAATAGCCTCTTTACCTTCAAACGGATTTGTTCCCATCGTCTTTCTGATAGATAAGCAGAGCAAGGCAATGGTGTTAATAGTTTTCAGAATATTATGGTAGGTAACTACGAAAACATTATTTTGTATATAAAAGCATCATCCAGCAGACTTTTTCTATGGTGAGCTGGTGTAAGATATAACTGTTGGGACTTCCCTAATGGGGCACACAGATGAGAGATTTCTATTTTTATCCTGTTCTTTTCTGGTATCAGATGCTACTGAAAGGGTTTTAGTTAATGATTGACTTTCTGTATATGTGAACATGCTTGTGTGTTATAGAATAAATGATAAAATTAAACAGATTTTGAATGACATAGATAAATGAAATCATTAAGCCAATAGTAACAGGAATGCTCTGGGGGTGGGGGATGTTATATTGTCAAGTAACCCAGCACCCTAGAATATATTTAAAGCTTCCTTCTGTAAATTCAGTCTTGAAATGAGTAAAACTCAGTTCTACAAAGAGAGAAGAAAGGATATATGTCAACAGGATGACTGAATGAATGAAAACAGAGGTGAATCTACTAATTACCAACCCTCATGTATTATGGAAACTTAGTCATATATCTACTGCTACTTTTTATTAAGAAAACTAAACCTCCCAGAGGAGAAACATTATATAAATTGTACTGTTTAAAAATTGCTGTGTTCGTTATGAGGAGCTTAATTATGGTCATCATTTACCAAAAAAAATCAAAGTCTTGTCAAAGAATTCATAATAATTAATGTTTCTCATTAAAAATTAATGAACAATCAGCTTATTATGAAGGTATGAAGTCTGCAGAATACCATAATTTTCCTTTCTTGTTTAAAAGAATTAATATTCATGCAAATTAGATCCAAATTACCAGAGTTTAGATGGTTACTTAGTACTACAGATTATGGATTTGTTTATTACCATAGAAGCCAATTATGTTTGTCAACATAAGCTAGATTATACTATGATAAACAAACCTCGAAACCTCAGTGGTTCAATAAAACAAAAGTTTCTTTCTTGCTCATCAAAAAAGCGCTGTAAGTTGGAGTAGCCCTCACTGTGCCTTTCCTCAATGGGGTGACTCAGAAAATCTGCTGCTTCCATTTTATACTTACACCATTTCAACTTTCAGAATCACCAAGGAACGAAGAAAGAAGATTGTGCATCAGCCCTCAAATGTTTCCACCTGAAGTAACACATCACTTCTGTTCATAGTCTGATGCTGCACGGCTTTGACCTATACAGCTGGGAGATGTGAGGAAGCAGAGGATATTCAGTGAATAATAATGTGCTTACCACAGCTGTATCAAAGCCAAAAGGACAGTATTGGTAAAAAGCATATTATGGACCCACTACCTAGGTACTATAAGATTCTTTGCATATAAGATTCTTTACTATAAGAATCTATACATAGGGAGGAGATGAAGGGTACAATCTTCTAAAACACATCTTGAGAGGGTAAGGCAGTTCATGAATTCCTAAATTACTGCTATAATTCTCATTGTATTCAACTGGTCAGAAGGTATTGAAACAGTACAAGAGGAATCCAACCTCTCTGATAGGAATCAACTCCCTAAAAAAAGACATTTGTCTAAGGAAAGTCCATCCTTCTAAGGAAAATGGTAGGATTTGCTTCCTTGAGTATAGAGTTATAAATATGGCAAGCAAAGCCCCATTCTTTTGTTTAAGTCTGAGGAATGTTCTCTCTTGGCTACACTAACTAGGAAGAGAGTGCTTTGACTGGAAAGGAAACGCTCTCCATCCTGAAGTCTTGTTTGAGAATGCACACAATTTAACTTCACTTTCTTCTTCATCCCTAGGCTAAAATAGCAAATAAATGAAGGACTGAGTTAATTAAATGCATATTTTAGCAGCATTTATCTGGCATTGATTGGCTGAGGCCATTTACTGTAAAGCGGGGAATGGTTAATACAAGTGTTGGCCAGCTCCTAAAGGAGGTGACCTCAAGGTTATATAATTGTAGCAGTAATTTATTTAGCTTAAAATGAATGTGTTCTCAATTAGGTTGGTAGGCATTATAATAACACAAGAGGGATTTGTATTTGCTTATGTCTTGACAGCAAGGGTTTAGTTATTGGATTTGCTTGCCTATATTTAGTCCTCCAATTCATGATTCCTCCTTGTAAAGATCGAGGGTTTGTTCATTCTGATTAATAAAGGCCCAATCCTAATATCACAGATACTGGTCTGATCTCATGAGAGGCAGCACAGGAGCAGACACACAACACAGATGCAGCAGACAGCATTATCTGGTGGGCTCTGCTAATGGGAATGGCTTCTATCCCCCACCACGCCACGGATCCATCAGTATCTCAAAATTTATCCATAAATTACTGCCTAAAATGAAAATATACCACACGGGGCACTCCAGGATATACTGCAGGATTCATTTTGCTGTTACTCTTATTTTACATTTGTACTTCAATTCCTCTAATCTACTAGTCAGAAAATTGGTTATTCATAATGCTCTGAATTTGAACTCACACTGCCATTCATTTAGACAGAAGAACTAGGAGCATTTTTACCATGCCTTGTTCAGGTGTGGTAAAGAAATATTTTAAAGTCAACTTGTGAATAGCTCGTTCTTCACCAACTCCACCAACCCAGAACTCTGTGAATTTTTTGATATTGGCATACCCATCTAATGTGCAAGTAATAATATTGTATGAACAAATATAACAATGATGATTATCACTTTCACTTATTTACAGGCTTATCAGAGATAAAGTGGACAACTGCTCAACCATGAGGCCAGCAGAGACTGGTCCCAGGACTTAGCCAGTAGAGGTCTCTGTTAGACTCAATATACTGAGGTATTCATACTCCTTGGGAGGGCGCCAACCCTCTCCAGTTGAAAGTGCAGCCTGCATGCTTAAACATACATTTCTGTCCAAAAACTTTAAAAATCTAAAAAGGAAATCTGGCACCAGTTGAACTTGTATTTTAGTTTATACTGTCAGTTTCAAAGTATAATTTCTGTTTAGATTCCCCAGTGAGGGCCAAGGGTCCACTCACTCTGATGGAGAGAGGGTTACTCTCCCCGTTGCTTCACTTCTCCAATCCTGTTCAGTTCTCTGGCATACTAGTAATGAGATTTACTTCTCTGGATTGTCCCAAGGCTTAAATAAGATATATATCTGAATAATACTCAATGACTTTATTCCTTCTCCCCTTCTTTTCTCATTGATCTGATCAACAGGGAGGCTAAGAATGCTTTTTTAAAAAATGGATACAGGAATGAAATAGCTGGAATGAAGCTTTGAAATCAGTAGAGCATATCTAAGATTTTTATTCTCTGAGCTCCTCATTCCTTTAAACACAGGACATGCTTTTTATAAGACTTATTTTTATTTATTTGAAAGAGTTAGATAGAGAAAGATAGAGAAACTTCCATCTGCTGGTTCCCTCCCCAAATGGAGGGAACAATGATGGAGGGGCTGGGCCAGGCTGAAGCTGGGAGCCAGGAACGTCATCCGAGTCTCTTACATGGGCGCAGGGGCCAAAGGACTTGGTCCATCTTCTGCTGCTTTCCCAAGCACATTAGCAGGCAGCTAGATTAGAAGTGGAGCAGCCAGGACTTGAACTGGCACCTATATGGAATGCTGGAGTCACAGGCAGTGGCTTAACTCGTTGCACTGTAACACCAGCCCATGACATACATTCAGAATTGAGCAAACAACATAGGTTCTATACTGTCAAACAGTTCACATGTTCATTGGCTGAAAAACAACTGGTCAATGTGTTTCTTCTTAATCATCAAATGGTGGTAGAAGAATATTTTCGCCAACAAACGTAAGTGTAGATAACCTCTGTGCTAAGCATCCCGTGACTGCAGATTCCTTCATATATTTATTGAGAACCTGTTTAATGCCTAGCCCTCTGTGGAAGGGAAGAAGACTCTCAGGTGGTGGTTCCTACTGTCAGGTGGATCATTATACAACCTGGGAGGGGCATCTCTGTATAAATGCACCCAATGTTCAAGAAATATATTGGGTGCCAGACAGAAGTTAAAACTTTAAACCTGGTCCAAATAATGGAGTTCTGCATTATCAAGATAATGGTGGGACTGTGGGTTAGAGGCCATTCACGAAAGGAACTAATATAATGGGGGAGGGGGAGATGGCTTAAATGATAAAAAGAAAACTAGCTAGATGATAAATGAGGGGAAAGAGAATGGCATTGTAGGTACCTGGAATAACAACAGCAAAGGAAGACAAACTTTTTGGAAGAATTTGTAAACTCCCATTATTCCCTGGAAGGAAATGTACTGAAGGTGCAGATACGTTTACACCAAATGCTGTAAAAGTACTGGCAGGAAGAGTCTATGGCTCCAATCACTGGGGTCTGGGTCTCTTCCCCAAGAGATGTGGCAGATTCTTCTTTTTATATATGTTACAGTTGTTTATGTTGAAGTTCTGTGTGTTAGCAGCTCCTTGTGTTACAGCTTCTCCTCTCCCACTGGGTCACCGTGTCTCCTTTCTGCCAAGTTTGTAGGGGGAATGTTACAGTTTTCTGTGTTGTAGCTCCTCCTCTCTCAAGCTCATTGTCTTCTGACCATGAAGAATGAGGCACACAAACAAGAATGAGCAAAGCAAATTTATTGAAATAAGCAGAGAAAGCTCTCAGCAGCTGGTTGCTAGAGGAAGATCCCCAAAAGGGTTGCCAGCCAGTACTGCTTGGCTTGGTTTTTTTATGTTTGTAAAGAAAGAAGTTTGCCTAATTGGCTGATATATGCTAATGAGATATTCTACATGAACCAATCAGGGAGTTAGCAGAGCCTGAATGTGATTGGTTCAGTCTTGCTCTGTAACTGCTTCACAAGCACCTGGAATAAATTTCTATTTCAATAACTTCATTGGCATGACAGAGTCCGCATGCTTTGTGTAAATCAAAATAACTGAAGCCCTGCCTAGGGATTGGTTGTGTAATGTCTCCTTTGCTATTCTTCCTGTGTCTTGGCTATGTAACTGACAGCTGAAGCTAAAGCTGGTGTTTTTCCCCTACCTTTGTACCCCTAGTCTTAATTTTTCTACAATGAGTGATATTTGGGAAGTGTAAGGCTTGAAGAAAACATTCCAAGGCACCAAGATGGCAGAATAATGAGGGAGCTTACTGCTATAATCTAGGGGAAGAAAGTTTAAAGGAAAAAAAAAAAAACAGAATGGACAGCAATCTCAGGGCAGAGTTAGGGAAAAAACTTCAGAGCAAACTTCACGAAAATTAAAGGGACACTGTGGTCCTAAGTGGAGGGTGTGGATGCCACAACTCAGGACCCCAGCAGCTGAGAGCCTCAGTAGCAGCTTTGGAGAGTGAGGTGAGACTAGACTGCAGTAGCCCAAACCACTGGAGATAAAGTTACAGGAAGAACCTAGTGTGAGTCCAGCGTAGATCCCTGTAGCAGAGAGTGTACCTGCCAACCTATAGGGAAAAAAGCGGGGCACAGTTCTCTCTCTCTCTGCCCACCTGGCACTGGGTAACTAGCCAAGATTAGGTGGGCGCCATTTTGGACATACGTAACAGCTCATGTCCTTGCTCCCAGCAACCAGCTAGGAGGAGATACCTGAGTCTGGATGGAAGAATTGACAAAGGGCTGGGTGCTTATAACTGTGGAAGCTTTGTGTGCTGGGACTGTGAAAACACTGTGGCTGCATGGGAGGGTATGTGGTGGATCTTTGGGCCATCACTGTGGATGGCTCCACATGCTTAGGGCTCCCTGATTCCCCAGTGAGGGTCATTGTTGTAGGATCTGTGCTCACACCAAGGACTGCACAGATCCTTTGTGTAATTCTTGTGGTAGCACTGATGAATACTGTACCCACTGGGGCTAGTGCCCAGGCATTGGTCTCCTTGAAAGAGAGGAGGTGAGCATGAGACTATGCCAACAGAGCTGAACACATCTCCCCTCTGATTAAAAAAAAAGCTTTACCACACCCAACCTGGGTGTGACACTGGACACTCCCTTCACACTAGAGAACTAAACAGAGCTGCCTGGCCACACCTACCACTTACCTCTAGGTATTCACTGAAAAAGTAGACATTCTACTAATCCACAGAAGCATGGTCCAAAGATAAAAGCCATCACCAGGAAAAAAATAAAAAATAAACCAACAAGTATCTCCACAAATGCCTAAAAATAAACATACCAATTTAAGAAACAAGAATAAGGAAGACAACATGATGCCCCCCAAAGAACACAATAACACTTCACTACTAGAATGTGAAAA